GACAACGTTTGTGTTCACCATAACATTTGTGCTATGGTGAAACAGGATATTTATGTTAGTTCGTAGAAATTGAGTAAGACCGGCCCAAATGTGTTTACACGTTGGTGGACAAAATTGTGAACAGTTGTTGTAACATCAGGTATGTCAAATTATTTTATTAATTAAAACCACAAATTAATTTTATTAATTTATAATAACAATAGCGGCAAAAGCGGTTGAATTTGATGATATAAAATAGGTGCTATAAAATTCTATTTATTCCTTTCCTTGCGAAATTCTTTCAAGTTTTTGTTCGTGCGAGGTCAGGGTTTACAATGTCCTTTTTTATTTTTTCTTTACACAATTGTATTTTCGATACAAAATTTTTTTTTGGATAAGTTCTGAATCACCCTGTAGATACCGTCACTACAATTTTGTGCTAGTGAAATTTCTTACATAACTTATTTTTTTACGTAAAATTGACTTTTTCTGACACCTATAATAAATTTGACGACAATTTGCTGATCTAGATATTTTTTATAAATCTAATAATGAATTGCAACAAAATAAAATTAAAACAGCTATGGGCAAGAATTTAGAACCAAAATTTGTTCTTAAAAATGAAAAATATATGACAATTCTATATATATGTCTGACTTTGTATTATTAAAGCTTAGCATCTTTACTAAGCGATTTTCTATTAAAAAAAGTCAGTTACATATAATTTCATTATCACATTAATCAATTTAGTAAATTTCAGGGAAGTATAACTAATTGAACCAACACGTTTTTATCATTGGCATTGAATAGTTAATACGAGTTTTAGTTCGGATTCTTCTAAATAACATTATTTTACAATTTAAATCATTGAATACTTTTTATTAGCTGTAAATGTATATAGTTGTGAGTTATCAGCATAAAAGTGTGATTTGCAGTGTGAAAAATCTTTTTCAAACGGAGAGATATAAATCGCGTAAAGTGACCTAAAACAGACCCTCGTGGTACTCCTCTATTAACGACTTGATGATGAGAAACACAACATGTATTTTCTTGCCTGTAAGATACTTTTCGGTTAGAAAGTTGATTCATTATTGAAGCCAGTATAATACAGGGTTAGGAGAAGTAATATATAATTAATTCTATCAAATGTTTTACTATAGTTCATTAAGACTGAGACGGTTAACTCATTATTGTCAGTTGCAAAATACTCCGGTGAAACTACAATTTGGACGATATCCTGACGGATGCAATAGTGACATTTTACATTGATTCAAATGAAGTCATGTTTATTTGCAGGCAGATTTTTCAAATAATTTTCAGTGTGAAAAAAATACTTCCTAGGCTGAGACCTGTTTAACCAGTAATACTATTACTTCCAGTAAAGTATAATATTTGTAACTTTACACTGATCTGCAAAGACACTCACTCTTAGTTGCATCAAATCGTACATAATTTTATTTAATTGGAAAGATTTTTCCACACTATCTCTAGTAACTTTTGAGTTAAAATTTATGGTTGCAAAGTTAACTGCAGAATAACCTACAAGAATTAACAAAATAATCATTAATGTCATTTTTGTCAGCAAAATTATCAGCAAGAACTAGCGTTTTTTATTCAATGTATTTTTTAGTTCCTGCCATTCAGCGTTTTTATCTTTTACAAGAATTTGATGTTCTAAATTTAATAAAAATTGTAATAAAGGACCTAGATTAAAAAAATTTTATTTACTAAATTTTGCACTTTAAAATAGCAAAATTACCAAATAATTCTGCACTAGAATACTGCCGACAACTTCCCTATAAAAATTATATATTTTCTCTCGTAAGTAAGAATAAAGTATTTACAGTAATACTATTTCTAAATTGTTGAAACTAGGATCAAGTAATAGATAAAATAAATATCTGAATGCGGTATCTCAAGCATTTTAAAACGATCGTTATAACGGATAACAGAGCTATAACGTACACATTAAATCTAAAGTACCACATGGGTAAGATACTTTAAAGATAATTTCTTTGTATAGATTAAAATTAGATACATCGAATTTCGAAAGTTGAAAAATAACAGTCTGTCAACAGTTAATGTGTGAACTGTTTGAAAATAGACATCTTACTATTCCCTGTCAGGCGGCAAAAGCAACCGCGGGAAAAATAAATGATCGGAGTTTATTTTGATGAATTAAGTTTAAAACGAAATTTATTTTCGTTAGGAAGCTCGGGTATTTCATTTATCATAACGAGCTGTACACTTTGATACACCAGGAGAGGAGCTACAATACTCTCATCGGACCGTAGAAGTGAAAGTTTGAATAATAGAAGCCGAAGACCGAAAATAGAACACATCAGTTTTAATAGTCTTAGAAGGTACTCTTTTGGAATCTCTACTGGCAAAGAAACCCACTGACGTGATACTCATAAAGAAAAATGAAATATTATGTAGGCTGTGCCCCTCGGAAAATACTATTTTTATCGCTTCAAAAGGCAAAATGCAGAATTAGTAAGTACATTGAATTTGAAGGCCATCATTTTGAGCTCTTACTTTAATTGAAAGATAATAAGGCAGCAGGACTCACATAAATCAAGCACCTGAAACGTAAGAGGCAAAAGGACTCACGTTAATCGAGCACCCTGAAAGGTACCGTTCCTGGATTACGCTAAAAGTAGTTTATTCACCAGTCATTTACATTTCTATAGATAACAATTTCCCAGTTATTCGTAATTTGCAAAATGAATAAACTTTTTTTAACGACGAATTTCGAATATTTGCACAAAACGTGGTATTTTTTATTGCAAATGTATTGCAGAATCGTATGCATAGGTTTTCAGTCGGGGAAATCGAAAAAAAATGAATTTTGTCGATTACCCCGCCATCTGTCATGAATCGAAATAAAATGTTTCCGACAAATCCTACGTACTTTTAATCGTAAAATCCGATTCTGGAAAATAGGGGTTCCTATTTAAGATTTCAATGTTATACCCTATCCTTTTTTCATAGAGTGCATATTTTTCCAGATATTTGGAAATTTTAGGTTAAAAAATCACCCGTTATACTTCCTTACGATGTTTTTTTGTAACTTTTTAATGATGAACCAGAGTTTGACTTTGAGAAAGAAAAAGAATACTCATTATTGAATGCATTATATGATAATCACTACATATCTGTATAGCAGTATTCAAAGAAAATGTATGAATACTTTTTATTTTTAGTATTTGTGAAAAATGGTAACGCAAACTCAACATTATTCGGTATTCGTATTTGTGAATACAGAGCAATCAGTCTGTGAATGTGTGAATAAAAGAGGAATGAATTCAGTGTTTCGGAGTTTTTTCATAAATATTTTATAACTATTTATTATCCGATTCATATCTCGAAGAAGCAAATAGTGAAAGAAATAAAAAAAATAACTAATTGTAAGTATTCGTAAACTTCTAAACATGCTACAATAGAACAGAGGGAAATGCTTTGGATTTTTTTAGAGACTGGTATTCTTTCTCAGGTTTTAATAGTATACAAATTGTAACAAAATGAACCAACACACTATACGAAAGTATATAGAATTCACAAATATAATGGGAGTAACCATATACATTTTTTACTAAAATTTGAACAGATATTGGGTATTGAAATTCCGAAAAAATCTGATCGAAAGTTTCGAATAAAACTTGAAATTTGTTATATTGTTTATAGCAGATATAATTCATAATCTCAGTACTCAGTAAAATATTATAGGTATAGTGGAGATTTAGAGTGACAACTCGTTCTTTTTTTCAATAGAATTTCTACGCCTATGATTTTTTTAAAAATCTTGAAGGTTTTTGATTAGCTATTCTATGTGGAAGAAAAAAGTATTCTTGTCACTTTATCGTAATGTATGTATTTAGTTTCCCAGTTACCCGATTGATTTTTTTTATATAAGATAATGCGGTTTACAAAGAAAAAATATGTATTTTTTTTAAAGTTCGAGTAACTCGAAACGATACACATTATGACAAAATGACGAGAACACTCTTTTCTTCTAAATAGAATAAAAAATCAAACACGAAACATTTATTTCTTGAGACTATTTCTGACATCATTGAAACATTTCGGAGAAAAATGTATAAAAGCCTCTTGTTGTTGGTTTATTTTTGTTATACTTTTTTTTCCTTTATTTAATATATTTATTTTGACACACCTGTCAACAAAATTTAAAAAATTGATGAAAGGAACCCTTTATATAATTAATTTTATAAATTTTCGTCGCGTAGCAAAATACCACGTACATAAAAAAGAAAACTATGTCCCAAATAAGTAATTTTAGACAATATTTCTCTTAAACCCTGTATAAATGGAAATTATAGGACATAACTTCTAAGCTATACTACAGAGTAAGCCATTATATATATATATATAATTAACAATATCATATTTTCTCCAATACTATTTTTCTCCATTTTATACTTTTTAACTACCATTAACAACTATCCCTTTTCTAGATACTTACAAGAGCTGCAGTATCAACTATAACTCTCGCATCATTATTTCCAAAGTTTTCTCAGCAAAAACTGATGTGCATCGTGATAATAATAAATCTGGGACAGCCAACCTTGTCTACCCAAGTCCGCTGAAAACTGAAACTACCTGAACTCTCGTGTCGTGATATTAAATGCCTCCATTCTTTACAACATTGAGAATTACTAAAGAGATCAAAATTACAGTGTGGTTTACGACGTAAGTTTTATTATTCTTTAGTATGGTATGTAATCTGATATCGGTACCATCACATTTCTTGTAGCTGCTGACATTTAATGAGTACCTCGTTGAAAACTTCACAATTTAATCCACTACCATCCAATAAAAAACAAATTAATTCCTGATACAATTAGCAGCAAGACTACCACAATGAGAAGTAGAAACTCTGTTAATGCCCCATTAATGTAACCATGGTTAATTAGCCCATTACCGGTAATTATTTCAGCGGTATTTTTTTCAAGACCTTGTACCAATTATGTTTTCATGTGTGCATGTAACAGGACGCTTAATTTAGAAGTGTGTGGATTGTCCAGTAAGTGAACCCGGTATTTAGTAGTGTGTTGACCTGGAATAATTGAATGGAGATTAATAAGTAAGTATGTAACGGTTTCAATTTGCCTTTCGTCGAGCTTTTCATCGAAAAATCCATGTTTTAACCAGGTATGTACACAACAGCTTGTAAACATCGCTGGAATGTGCTGGCAATTTGCACGCCTTTTTGTGTCAGTTTTTATTTGGTTAATCAATTCGTTTTTTGGAATTTAATTTGCCTCTGTGCCGACTGACCCACATAGCCCTTCGGTGTGCCTAAAATACAAATCAATAAAAGACAAAATAAAAGAAAAAATTATTACTCTCTTTAATAGTGCCACTAAATTTGTTATAATTCTCAGCTGTAATTGATTGCTTAAACAAAAATTAAGTTCTATTAAAAAATAAATGTATATTTAAGCTGTAGCAGTTAAACTAATTTTAAAATAACCGAACTTTTATTTTTTCTAATACGATTCATATGAGTTTCTCTTGTCAAAAGAACCAGAGGTCTTAACGGATGCCACCGCTAATAAGATGAAAAATGTATATTAATAAATAATGGTAGATTATTGTCAGGAAAGATAAATACGTCAGTCTAAAGCTTAGCTGTGTATGATTAATTACTACCGAGGAGGAAATATATCACAGAAATAAATTCAAAACAAAAAATAAAGCTTCAGAAACATTCTCATTAATCGTGTAACTTTCTTTAACCAAAATAGAGAAGGTTGCTCTATTTGGCAAGAAGTTGATGAAGGTCAAAAACGAGTTGACATTTTTGGGAAATGTGTATGTAGATGCTACGAGGTCTGTTCAGGAAATAACCGATTTTTGCAGATCTTTCGCACAAATAAAAATTATGATGTTTTTATGTAGCTTTTTATTCGTTCTTTTGTTCCTCTTCAAATGTTATGTTATCCAACGTTCTATTATATTAATTGTCTTATCTACATATAAATTAATTTATTTACTACTGTTAATTTAAATATGATTAGAGTCAGAACAAAAGTACAACCTTTAACAGGAATTTTTGAAAAAAAAAATCTATTGGGTTTTTTTAACTGAATAAACAATAATTATATAAAATACGCATATGTAGGTACATATAATGAAAAATTAAAAAGATATAATTATTTTTATAGCAGTCACGGTGGGGTTAGGTTAGGTTCATGGTTTAGAGTTAGGGCAATGGATTATCTGCTTAAAACTTACCTACCCTTTTAGAAAAATAACTGTCTTCGATTATTATTTACAAAAGCTATCCCTCACCTTTTTCATAAATTAAAAACTGATTAACGACAACATATAACAACGAAATTCGTTTTTCTTAAATTAGAAAAGCAGTTTCAACAAATGGCATAAATTTTTGAAAACCACTAGAATGAGAAGCAAGAGCATATAATTTATTTGACAATTTTGTAGGTACTTGCTGTATAACGCACCCGCGGTAAATTAGTCAAAAAAGAAAAAAATGAAATTTTATTAAAAATTCATTTAGAAAATTAAAATCACACACTTTTTCCATATCAATACTCATATAGGAAAGTTTAAAAAAAAGCAACTTTAGATTACTTTAATTTTACAAATGTAATACTACACGGTGTCTTTTTTCACTCATTGCGAAAGCCTGATTGAAAAATGATTATTCCGGTTTTTTTTTGTAAGAAGTTGAACCAAGTTCAACTTTCCAGTTTCTATAATTGTCTGTTTCGTTTCAATAGCCATCGCGTCTTTGTGTCTGGTTTTGTTGTAAAACAGAAAATGTAAAAATTTTCAACATTTATCTAAGCTAAGTTACGAAATTAACAGTAGGTACAGTTGTTAATTGTTAGCTTCAACCAGCTGCCTATAATCTATTTTAAGGCGGCGGATACATTAGATGCGAATTCATACAAAAATCTGTTTGCACGAAATTCTTAACAAATTGTTCATACATATAAATAGAGTAAGTTACATGGCTTCCCCTTTAAAGTTTAAGTAGTATAAAACCAATCCAAATTGTTTAATATTGCAATATAATCGCTTACGCGTAAATTCAGGTTTCACAACAATGTACGTACCTACTACTACTACTTGTAACTAGTGGCATTTTTATAACTTGCAGTCTAATACACAAACTACTTATGTTAGTTGGCAGTGCAAATAAATTGTTGGTGACATCTGTCACTTTTTATTTATTATGTCAACTTGTCATTTCTTGTGTTAGTGACAACAAGGCTGTAGGGAAATGAGTAGATAGTCAGTACAGTCTAAACCAAAAACACTACAAGCATTGAGTTACTGAGTAATTTATGGCATAAATAATTGTTTTAACTTGAAAAATTGACCAATAAATCATATAATTGGATTAAGGTAAATTAATCATTTAAGCAGAAATGTTACGTAGGTGATTGTATTTTCTTAGTTTGTGTCTAGGTATAAATTGTATGAATAGATTAATGAAATCTTGACGTATAGCTGCAGGATCCAAACGATTGATGATAAATAATAGGTTGATTTACATTGACAGATAAAATTATCGTCATTAGTGTCAAGTTCAATAATTCTAGTACTTTTTTCCTTCCAGCAAAATGTTCACTTGGCTCAACAGAGTACCAGAGGTGCGGCAGCAGTGCTACGAGAACGTAATCGAGGGCCTGAAGAGCATCTACAAAAACAAAATGCTGCCGCTGGAGCAGCACTATCTCTTCAACGAATTCCACTCCCCGCCCCTCAACGACGCCGATTTCGACGCCAAACCGATGATCCTCCTTGTGGGCCAGTACTCCACCGGAAAAACAACGTTTATAAAATACCTGCTGGAGAGGGACTTCCCTGGGATGAGGATCGGGCCGGAGCCGACGACGGACAGATTTATAGCCGTGATGTTCGCGGAAAATGAAGGCGTAATACCCGGCAACGCCCTGGTCGTGGACCCCAAGAAACAATTCCGGCCTCTTTCGGCTTTCGGGAACTCTTTCCTGAACAGATTTCAGTGTTCGCTGCTGAGATCCCCCGTACTCAAAGGCATGTCCATTATTGATACACCCGGCATACTAGCAGGTAAGATTACAATGAAATATTGAGCGTTCCGCTGGGGGAGCTGATTTATATAGGCATCGAGTTGATGTATGGGACGGGATTTATTTAAAATATAGGTCACATAAACTTATGATGCTGAAAAATGCGCGCGCGTTTTTCCACATTACTTCGAGGCGATTTGAGAGTTTAACTAAAAGTGGGGAGGTTTGGCAGGATCGGAACACATTTTCAACCTGAATGCGATTAAGTATGTCTCCATTTTTCGATACGACAATTTATTATTGTTGTTAGTATTACAAAACTAAGAGTAGAGGTAAAACCTACAAAACTCAAAACAATAAAAACACACATACAGGGTAGCCCATCGAAAACGTACCGCAAGGCATTACAGGGTAGTAAAGAATTTTTCGGTAAAATCCAAAAACAGGTCAAATTTGTTTCTGAGGGGGACAACTTTTGGCTCAAAAAGCATACCAAAATCTTCAACCCCCTAAGTGGGGGTGCTATCCCTTAAATTTTTTCAAATGGGAATGGGGGTCAAGTGGGGGGTCATTAGAAAGGGCTTTTAATTCTCTATACATCGATTCTTACTTTTTGAAAATCGATTCATTATTTTAGAAAATATGCAGCTTTGAAAATACGAACAATATTTTTGACGAGAAATGCGAAAATCGATTTAATTTTACTTCAAAACTTACGGTATTAGTCAAGTAAATGCTGAAAATGTTGTCCGCCAACTTGCATACAATGATACAGGTTGTCTTCAAACCGTTGTCGAACATTCTGGAGCACTTGCGGTGTTACTTCGCGACATACATTAATGATTCGTCCTCGCAGATCTTCCAAGGTATCAGGTGGAGTGCTGTAAACTTTGCTTTTAATGTGCCCCCAGAGAAAGAAATCTAAAGGATTTAAGTCGGGTGACCGAGGGGGCCACTCAATTGCACCTCTTCGTCCTATCCAGCGTCCTGGAAACGTCTCATTTAGGTAATTGCGCACATTGAGCGAGTAATGTGGAGGAGCTCCGTCTTGCTGGAAAATCAGTTCGTGTTCATTGTAAGCAGGGTCGTCCTCTATGATATTTGTTAGAGCTGGGTCGATGACATTTTGTAGTAAATCCAAGTACATATCGCCTGTCAAATTTCCAGGAAGGAAAAAAGGACCTACAATGGAATTTCCAAAAATACCTGCCCATACATTCAACTTCTGGGGGTGTTGGGAGTGTGTCTCATGGAAAATCCTTGGATTGGTATCAGCCCAGTAACGACAATTATGGCGATTCACTAAACCATTCAAGAAGAACGTACACTCGTCCGAAAAACACACATTAAAGAGGAAATTATCGTTTATCGCTCGTTCAGTCATTATTTCGCAAAATTGCAAACGACGATCAAAATCGTCTTCATTTAGCTCTTGCACTAGCCGAATCTTATAAGGATGGAATTTGTATTTTTTTAATATTCGTTGGACACTTGTACGACTCACTCCTGTCGCAGTAGCCAATTGCATTGTACTCAGCGTACTATCCATTGCCACTTGCCCCAATACCGCTATTTCCGTAGGTTCATTTAGTACCGGATTTTCAACCTGCCTCTTTTTGTTATGAACGGAGCCAGTTTCGCGAAATTTGGCCACCAATTCGCGAACAATTTTTCCAGACGCATGTTTCTCAGGATGCCGTTGGTTGAACAGTTCGGCGACCCGATTTCCGCATTCATTGTTTTTGAAAAAAAGCTCAATAATTTCTACTCTTTCTGGAATTGAGTACACCATAATTAATCAATTTAAAAGACTCGGCAGTATTGGTACTCTTCAACTACAAGTCACAAGACAGTTATCTAGCAACTTCTTGTGGCCTATCTAAATACGAAACAAAAAGCGGACAATTTTTTGCTCACCAAAATCAGGCTAAAGAATTCGCAAATCAGAAAAAAAAAAGCGAATTCTTTTGAAGGAATTTACCAAGCTAATACCGTAAGTTTTGAAGTAAAATTAAATCGATTTTCGCATTTCTCGTCAAAAATATTGTTCGTATTTTCAAAGCTGCATATTTTCTAAAATAATGGATCGATTTTCAAAAAGTAAGAATCGATGTATAGAGAATTAAAAGCCCTTTCTAATGACCCCCCACTTGACCCCCATTCCCATTTAAAAAAATTTGGGGGATGGCACCCCCACTTAGGGGGTTGAAGATTTTGCTATGCTTTTTGCGCCAAAAGTTGTCCCCCTCAGAAGCAAACTTTACCTGTTTTTGGATTTTGCCGAAAAGTTCATTACTACCCTGTAATGCCTTGCGGTACGTTTTCGATGGGCTACCCTGTATATGTGAAATGCCTTAAATTCACAAAATAATCTATAAAAATAAAAATTAAATGCATGCTGTGTGTTGGTAAGCATTATCACTTGAAAACGGCTGGACCGATTTGCCAAATTTTTTTTAAAATGTCCGTAGTAGTCCAAATAAGGTTTTTAGGGAAAGAAAAGAATGGAAAAGTTGCTTGGAACGTGGAAATGCAAAATTAGGGAAAAACTGAAAGTGCTTTTTTCTATGGGATTTTTGTATGAACTGACCATAATTCACGATTTGAACGATGGATATGCGTATTTTTTTTGTTTTGCTCGTTATGGTTTTCAGGAAAAAAAATTCTCCACAATTACAAGCGAAAGTCCGAAAAATGCAAAAATCATAATTTTTGTACACACTCTTGTTCTTACTTGCGGTTGGGACGGCCTTTTTTGTTTTTTTTTTTTTTGTTTTGTTCGTTATGCTCCCGAGATGGAAATAACTCAACTGAATGTTTTCAATTGAAAAAAAATCTGGAAGATCTGGAGAAAAATCTGGAAAAACGTATTCCAGCCTAACGCATGCAAAATTTCCCTTTGGTGTACTTCATCAAACTCAGAAATACGTTTTGTTTCTCATTTTTACTTTGTTTACACATTTCCAATATCTTTTAACTAATTCACAAAACGATCCCAAATAAATTTATTGAAATTTGGACAGGACGTCTGTCGGATCAGCTAGTAGGCAATAAATATCACCTTTAAAGGTGCTGATCAAGGTAGGTAGGTATGTATGTTGTGTTCCAAGACTGAATAGCAATTCCAAGACTGAAAAACCCGGTTGTATGAAAAATGTTCTCTGATAGAGATAAAAATAAGACAGTTTGTAAGTATGACCAGGAAAATAGGTACATTTATAATGAAGATCTTGAATAAATCTACGAAGTATAAATTCTAACATGTTTTTAGTATAACTGCAGTGCCCAATATGTAGTAATGACATCATTCCCTTCAAGTTCAGTCAATTCAGGCAAAATGTTAAGAATATGTAGCCTCTCTTCATATCAGGGACATGTGGAGGATTTGTTGCTTCACGTTGAATCGATTCAGTAATATCACGATCATATACAAACTTTAGGGTCCAAATTGCAGAAGTTATTCCAATACACCAACAGAAATAAGTTTTTTATCGTTTGGTTGATAATGCAATATTTTAAATAAGAAAGAACTTTTCACTTGATGGATGATGACGTGATGAGACCACGAGTAATCGGAAAAGATGTAAACATCAAAGACCTTGTAAACTTCCGTTTCAGGAAGCAACAGAATAATTCACATGAGGGTTATTCATTCGAATATACAAGACAACACATTGTTAGAAGTTAATGCGAGTCAACCAGTTTTTATTCCATTGAGCAGGTTGTGAAAGGTCAAGTTGCGGTTGATGGTAGTCCGTAAAAAGATTGATATAGAGACAAAATTTCGAAACTAACATACCAGATGCATCAGATATAGAACGGTATAGTAGGAGCCCTAAAACAGAATCTTGAGGAACTCCACCAGTCCTGTATGGTCAAGACGTAGCTTTTTTTTCGTGTTTTTGTGAGTGGGTTGTTTACTGTCATATTGACATCAATATATTTTTCGAGTCCGACCTCAATAAAAAGAACCTACAAACTGCGGCTCCTGCAAGCCTGTCAGTTTACTTCAAAGAAGTTGTTTAGGTATTTATATCTGATATCATAAAAATACAGTCCACAAATAAAAATGGTCTTTCATTAACAATACACCACCAACATTTTTAAATTAGGGACCGCTACTTTGACTTTAAATTTACGGTTACTAAGAAAGTCAGTTAATCATGCAAGGAGGAATCCATTTATTCCATAATATTGCAGATTTTTAAAGGCCTAAACGCTCCAAAGGCGCTTTACCTAATGCTTTAGAATAATCCATACACATGACATCAACACTGTTTTCTGTCAACTGCCAGAAAGTTAGTAGTTGCCTGGTTTTGCTGATCTGGTAAACATTTGATTGTAGGTAGATTATTTCAATATGCCTACTCTTATTATTCTGTAAATGGGGTCTGACGTGAAGAATAGTGTATTAAATCGAAACAAGAAATACAGTTACGAATCAAAAGAATTTATTGAATTTTCAAAATATTTAGAAACCTCGAAATTCTCAGGCTGTTGATGGTATTGTCTCCCAGTATTTTTGACACTGAATAATACAATTATTGACAAATTCATTGAATTTTTATTAATCTACGACAGTTTTCTGTTATATTTAGTATTTATTTGTGATGTTTTTCAAGAACTTAAAAATCCTACAACTTGCAGATGAAGCATGTTTGGGCTAATTGTCATATTTTGACCTTAAGATATGTAATAAGGGCCTTCATTTAAATCCACCCTGTACATCTTTTCCCTTTTTCTCATTTTATATTTTATTTATAGAATGCAGAAGTGTGGATGTGCGTTTGTAAGGTGAAATGCTTATCATGAAGCCAAAAATTACTCGGAAATGTTAATTTCAGCAATGAAATTTCAAACTATTCTAATAAACGCCTATGTTTCAGGTGAGAAACAACGCATCGACCGAGGATACGACTTCACGGGGGTGCTGGAGTGGTTCGGCGAACGGGTAGACCGTATAATATTACTATTCGATGCACACAAGCTCGATATCTCAGACGAATTCCGCCGGTCCATCGAGGCGCTCCGAGGACATGACGATAAAATTAGAATAGTTCTGAACAAAGCCGATATGATTGACCATCAGCAACTCATGAGGGTGTACGGGGCCTTGATGTGGTCCTTGGGAAAGGTCCTTCAAACCCCAGAAGTTGTTAGAGTGTATATAGGATCTTTTTGGGACGAACCACTCAGATACGACGTTAATAGAAGACTGTTCGAGGACGAGACGCAGGACTTGTTCAAAGACCTGCAGAGTTTGCCGCGGAATTCGGCATTGAGGAAGTTGAACGACTTGATCAAGCGTGCCAGATTGGGCAAAGTTCACGCCTTTATCATATCCGAGATCAAAAAGGAAATGCCCGTGTTCGGGAAGGAGAACAAAAAGAAGGAACTGATTAAAAATTTGAGCGATATCTACGAGAAAGTTCAAAGGGAATACTCGGTTTCCATAGGTGACTTGCCGGACATAAATAAGATGAAAGAACACCTGCTTAAGATAGACTTCACTAGATTCCATTCTCTCAAACCGAAATTGTTGGAAGTAGTGGATGAGATGTTGTCGAATGATATCTCCCAGCTCATGGCGATGGTGCCGAATGACACCAGTCCTGCGTCTCTCACCGACATACACGGAGGTGCTTTCGAAAACGTTGAAGACAAAAAGACTCCGTTCGGGTACAGAAGCGGAGAAGGAGTCAATGCTGGATACGGCGAACCGGAATGGATAGTGAACAAGGAAAGGACTGCATTCGACGTTTTATTCGACTCACTTAACCCTGTAAATGGCAAGCTATCGGGTGCGACAGTGAAAGAGGAGCTGGTCAAGTCGAAACTCCCCAATGCTATTCTTGGCAAAATTTGGAAACTCGCCGACGTGGACAAAGACGGTTACCTAGACAAGGACGAGTTTGCTCTGGCCATGCATCTGATAAATGTGAAGCTGAGCGGCAACGAAATACCCCTAGAACTACCCGACCATTTAATACCACCCAAACAGAGAAATAAAGTGTATACCTGTTGAGTTTAATAAAATGCTTTAATCCCATTTCATGCAGTATTGTAATATGTTCTCACAGCTCTATTAAAGCATGAAGGTGTTGTAATGCGGTTTCACTATGTATAAGCTAATAGGCCGTAATCCTCTTCTACATTGTGCTTTTGATTGGCAAATCAAATTTTACCGGTATCTGCTATAATAACTTTTTGTGAGACGTTGACACTTCGGGTTAAGGGATAAAGGATGGATTAGTCACATTTACTTAAACAAAATGCCGAAAGGAGACTAGTTTTTAAGCTTGACTTTAAGTAATCGGGAAAAGATATCTATCATGTCATTTTATCGAACCGGTGTTCTGCGCTATCTAGTTTTAAAGACGATGAAATAATCTAATGAAAATATATAGTTAGAGTGGAAAAGAGGGAAAATATTTTTATTTTTCATTTTACGAGAAAAAAGCATTCTTGATTAAAATATTTGCTTGTCTTTAAAATGCGGTTGGCAGGAGAACTTTCATCTTGCATGTACAGGGTGATCAGAAAATCGGTAANGGTATCTGCTATAATAACTTTTTGTGAGACGTTGACACTTCGGGTTAAGGGATAAAGGATGGATTAGTCACATTTACTTAAACAAAATGCCGAAAGGAGACTAGTTTTTAAGCTTGACTTTAAGTAATCGGGAAAAGATATCTATCATGTCATTTTATCGAACCGGTGTTCTGCGCTATCTAGTTTTAAAGACGATGAAATAATCTAATGAAAATATATAGTTAGAGTGGAAAAGAGGGAAAATATTTTTATTTTTCATTTTACGAGAAAAAAGCATTCTTGATTAAAATATTTGCTTGTCTTTAAAATGCGGTTGGCAGGAGAACTTTCATCTTGCATGTACAGGGTGATCAGAAAATCGGTAAGTATAAAAATCGTTCAAACATAAACTGCCTTTGTTTTTAACAATACAGAAATGTTATTAAGGAAAGTTGCTTAGAATTGAAATTTATATTATAATTTCAATTTGTGTATGAACCGGCCTATTTTGATAGAAATGGACAGTAAAAATTTTTATTGTTCATTTCATAAGAAAAAGATTTTCTGATAAAAATGTTTTTGCTTGTCTTTAAAATATCTTTAAAATGTTTTTAAAGACAGGCAAACATTTTAATCAAGAACACCTTTTTTGTGTAAAATGAATAAACATTTTTTACTGTCCGTTTCTATTAAAGTGGGCCGATTCATACACAAATTCAAATTATAATAAAAATTTTAATTCTAAGCAACTTTTCTTAATAACATATTTCTTTATTGTTTAAAAAAAGGCATGTTGTTCTTTATCGATTTTTATATTTACCGATTTTCTGATCACCCTGTACATGCAAGATGAAAGTTCTTTGTTAATTTGAATATATTTTAGATAATAGTATTTACATCTACAATTTCCTGTGACAAATCATTTTCAAGTTAAAAACTCCTGAAACCTATGAAGAAAATGACGATATTAAGTTTTGTGTAGATATAATAAAATGATAGTATTCATAACTATAGCAGAATAAAAAAAATACAAATACAAATAACACATTTGACTCAAAACAAAGTGAAAGAGATGTAGAGAAGAATTTATATTTAGTCTCCTAACTAATTTATATTTAAGCATTTAAAATATTTAAATGTGAAGCATTTTTATGTTTATTTTTTTATTCTTAATTATGTTTTCATCACTTCATTATTTATGCACGTAGTCAATTAATTACTACGTGTAACATTCTAATTTTTTTCGGAACGTTACCTGTAGCGACATTAAAAGAGTATAATTTTTTGAGTGAAAAAGGTATAAAAACCACATGAAATTTTTAAGGCAGATTTGAATTTTTCGTTCAAAAATACCTTAACTTGCCAAACATGCCAATCTCTTGACAGTTATTTCAGAAAATAAAAATTTAAATAATTAATTTCATGTATGGTATTTCGCTACTAACTTTTGTACCAAAGTCGGACTCTCATGATCCGTTTTTAGTTGACCCACTTTTGTTTTTGAGCAACCAAAATTGTATCAACTTTTTGGTGATACGTTGAAGTATGTTTCAACGAATACTGAACTGATAATTAGAAATAAACTGGCGACAAATACAGTTATTCGTGTGTATAAAAAAGTGTTTCCAAATTGTTTTATTGGAGATCTCGGGATGAGAAAAACACAATGTAAAAACGTCATATTTCGCGAGGAATGAAAGAATAGAGAGAAACCAGTATTTGCAATTATTTCGTCTGTTTGCTGTTTTATCTTAACCTTAAAAGTAACAATTAGATTACAGATCACAATTGAATAATTCAAGTCGACTGTCAAATGTTCGCATTCTTCAAATACGTTTCAATTCGTCTAAAAACTAATGATGACTCGTCAGTTGAAAGATACAATTTCAATGAATCAATCTTTCAACTGAATCAACTAGCCGAAATAAGTTGAAATACATTTAACTTGCTTGTTCTAATAAGGCGCGTTCTCACGAGTCAAGTTTAGTTGGCGCCTATAGCAATTTTCATTCATTCATTCATTGATGAACAAAAATAGGTTAACTAAAATCGAATTGTAAGAACGCACCTCAGAAGTTGACCACCTGTTGCTCATCTTTTTTAATTCAACATTTATTTTCAATACTGATCCACAGTTTTAGTGTTGAACTGATGTCGAAAAGATGCAAGACTATTAGCTGTTCTGTTAAAAGAGGAAAACAAAAAAGGTATTGAATATGAAGAAAAAATTGAAACAAAAGTATGGCGAATGTTGAAGTTTAGTGGAACGACTTTATAAGCTTCAAGCACGTTTCAACTTATCGGTGATTTGAAGATAATTGAATGGCCACTCTTCTTGATCCACTATAATATTGAGCAACTGAGTTGAAACAAAGGTTCACATGGTTATTTTTATTCAATTTCTATTGATTAACTGAAACTGATCCTATTGAATCACTTTATTTTAAACCAAATAAGCTACTATCAAAACATTACCCATTTTGGAAGGAATTTATGTCAGTTAATTCTGAAATTTATCTACACAATTTCTTTGACACTAATTATGCTGAAAGCTTTAATTCGTACCATTTATAAATTTAAATCGACATTTGATGACTCGTGCGGAAACTTTGGAGATTTACTGGCTCGGAGATGCTCTTCGGCGAAGAGGAGATGCGCGCACGTGGCGTGCGGTCAATTCATTTAAAACACGAAAAGGAAACCCCGTATCCATCATTGATTCGCTTAGGTTTAATCAGCGTAGAAGGGTAAAAACATTAATTGAAACGAATCACTTTGAGAGCACCGACTAAAAGCGACAGCTCAGAATTCTGGAATCGGAAAATGGGCTCTTTAGACAGCTGGAGGCCCTACTAAACCAATTAAAACAAAGAACAACCGAGGCTTTTGTTCTAATTGTAACTGTATTAGCCCGTGTTTAATGGCGCTTTTTGCCGCTGTTAGTTTTCAGTTTTTATGGTTTCCTTGAGGGTGCGGTTAGCTTTGTGTGTTTCATGCTGCATTTGGGAAGGTTATTGAAACAAATTGCTATGCCGCGTCTCGAGAAAACTAAATTTTTTTTTGGCAATTCTATAACCTTAGTTAATCTCAATGAATGAATAACGATTGCCTTGTCAAATTGTTCCTAATTAACCAACTATAAAGACAGATGTCTAGAATATAATAACAGATGTTTAGAATATAATAATAAATAATTAATACAATTTATTACTTTTATCAAAAAATACTCGCAGCCACATCAGAAGTCAATCTATAAATTACAATTCAATTCTTATTTAAAATGTCATTTTAGGAATTGCTTCATTATTTTAAGCCTAAGGTTACCTTTTATGATGTTATATTATTATCTTAAACTTAACACGCTTATTTACTTCATCCTGATTGCACAATTTTTATACTTTCCTTGATTAAAACAAATTCTGCCATTCCGTTGATTTTAGAATAAAACACATGTATAAAAACGCCTAGCAATAAAATTTTATGAGATTCATAGGCGTCCCTAAAAAAGTTTTCTGCTAAAAAAATAATAATAAACTCAAAAAGAGAAAGATAAATTCAACGATAGTATATAGATTTTGTCTGCGGGAGTATTCGCTTCTCAGCAAGAGCCTAAGAGAATAAGCAAAATCAAAGTAGGTCCGAAGTCAGTTGAACATGTATAAAAACGCCTAGCAACAAAATTTAATGAGTTTCATAGGCGTCACAAAAAAGTTTTCTGCTAAAGGTCAAACATTGTAATAATTTTTAAATAATGTGAGGAAAATTTCTATTATATGTTCATTTGGCCAACAACATATTTTTTTCTTTATATAAATTATAAATTGTCCGCCGAATTACGTTTCTCGTCATGTCATCGATATTTTTAAATTCTTGTTTTCGATTCCTCTTTACGAAATCTATAACATATTGTTTAATGTGAATACTATTTATAATTTCATTATCTTATCCTTTTTTAAACAATCGTAAATATCTAAAATAATACGCTGACATTGAACATGTAAATCTTTATTTATAAATTCTAAATCTGTTTCATCTACAACCGGTTCTATTAATTCAATAATGTCTGGCGGTATTTCGTTTTGTTCCGTTTCAAAATGTCTCCAAAATGCCATGTTGTAATAATATTAGTAAAAAAAGTATGCCTCTTATTTCTTCATTTCGCAGTTGTAATATGAATGATTACTAGAAGTTGTCTTTAATAAATTAAAATTACCTGAATCACACCAAATTCCGCATTGCTGCACTGCACTGTTAGGCAATTTGTCGCCCAGTGCGGCTGTGTTTGTAAGCCGTTTGCCCGTGCGCGCATGCTTCAACCGGGCGTATAGATTTCTACCACCTCCATGTTTAGTTCGGCCAGATCTGTATATGGGTATGGCTGAATAAATATGGGAATAAGTTTTTCAAATATTTCAGTGCTGCATAGCGACCGAACCTGGTACATACTGCCTAGCTCTTTGGTCTTCCATTGGAAGATCGGAAAGACTATTCACGGTAATTTTAAGTAAGCTGAATTAA